GAAACTAGAAATATCTCATAAAATTAAACCACTTTAATAGTTAGAATTAAATAATCATATGAACATTTAAAAGTGCTCTTTTAAAATTTTATACCTGTCAATTTTAAATGATATATTTTACTCCTCATAACCTGATAAAATACTCATTAATTTAAGAGTTTTCACAATGCAATGTTGTCATAGAGAAGAGCTATTTATCTCTTTTCTCAGTAGTTTGAAAAATACCCTGAGTATAACAAGTGAAGCACAAATAAAAGATGTTTTATAATTTTTAGCATTTCTTTAATTCAAAAAGAAAATGGAATAGCCTTTTATAATAGTTTAATACAAATCCTTCCAAATTTGAATATAACCAATAAAAGATCCAAGAAAATGTATTCAACTCTCTACATTATCAATATCTCTAAAATATTTCTTGTATTAAAAATATCATATTTTGTATCCCTTTGAAACTTCATTAGTTAAACTTCCTGTATCTGTTTAAAAAAAAAAAATTGCAGCATATTGTGGTTAGAGCTTCAAGGAAATTGCAGTAAAAAGCGTTTTTTTTTTTTTCTGAAAGATACTGTCAGTTTAGGTTCTTCATATTTACTGAATTTAAAAAGATAGTTGACCTGATTTCTTTATATTTTGGGCTCTTTAACCTAAGAAATGATTATTTTTTACTAAAAAATAAAAGAATTCACACAGCCATAAGAAAATAATGCAATTTTAACATATCATTCAAATAGGCAAAATCCAAAACAAAATTAAACAATGTTTTTGAAATTTCTAATGTAAATACAACTTTCATTTTATTAGAATCAAAGGAGAAACCCTGTGAAATAGAATGAAAAAGAGCAGTAATACAGCATATTTTATAGCAGATTCATAAACAGACTTTCTGCATACTCCATTATAAAACATTTTGTTTCTTGAACAGAGTCTCCCCTGAAGAAGCAGTGAAGTGGGGTGAATCATTCGACAAACTGCTTTCCCATAGAGGTCAGTGGTATTTTCACCAAATGCTTTATTCCTTAATGGAAAGCTACAGAAAGTATGCATGCAATTATACAAAACAAGCTGTCATAAAAAATTTTGTCTGATTGGTAATTTGATTTTTTTGATTGACAGAAGTAACTAAACAATAGACTACTCAACTAATGGAAAACATTTTTTAAATATTCTCATTTTGTTAAGAATTACTTATTGTGGATGAAATATTAATTATTTCTTTATGCTCTAGTTAACAGTTTCAAATTTTTCTGATTTTTTAATGAGACCCTCAGTTTTATTAAATCCATGATTAGCAAACCAACCATATTATTTTCATTGCTCAGGGATTAAAAATTTAAAATAGTTTTTTTGCTCGGACATTTAGGAAACCCTCATGAAAATAACATTTAAAAAAATTTATAAAGTCTTCAATTTGCACTTCATATCAATCATCTATTTTTAAAGCAGAATTTTGTAGAAAAGTTGAGAATCGGTGTATCTCTATGGTGGAGCTTTGTATCTGAGCCGGAGGGTGAGGACAGATAATGAGTGCTCATTTCACTCTGCAACGCCACGATAAAGCACGGTTAGAAGGCCGGCTGCCTAGTTTGCTACTCTTCAGGGCTGCGGTTCCCAATCCCCAGGCTGTGGACCGGTGCTGTCTGCAGCCTGTTAAGAACCGACAGCACAGCAGAAGGTGAGCAGAGGGTGAGCCAAGGAAGCTTTATCCGTATTTACAGCTGCCCATTGCTTCCGTCACTGCCTGAGCTCCGCCTCCTGTCAGATTAGCGGGGAATTAGATTCTCATAGGAGCCCAAACCCTACTCTAAACTGCACATGGGAGGGATCGAGGTGGCACGTTCCTTTTGAGAATCGAATGCCTGATGATCTGAGGTGGAGCTCAGGCAGTCATGCTGGCGCTGGGGAGCGGCTGTAAATACAGACAAAGCTTGCTCTCTGCTCACCTGCTGTGCACGCCCCCCCAGCCCCACCTCCTTCCTAAGTTTCATGGAGGACAATTTTTCCACGGTTGGAAGACAATTTTTCTAGGGGTGGGAGGGTCACATGCAGAGTTCTGCAGCCCGATCCCTAACAGGCCAGGGACAGACTGGTATCAGTCCAGGGCTTGAGGGTTGGGGACAGCAAGTTTATATGGCACTGACAGTGGGTTTCACATTCTGAGGTGAATACTGGAATAAGGGGTTCCTGTTGCCAAGAGAGCTAGGAATGGAGTACGGTAATTCAGCCTCAAGTACTTCAATTGATTAATAGCAGATTTTCCTGTCTGGCCACATCTTCTGTTTTCTCTCTCTTCCCTAATTGTTCAGCTTTCTACAAGGTCTCGGTGACCTGTTCTTTATCCCCTGAATTAGCTGACCTAAGAATTCTATTTCCTCAGATTATCCCTGAAGACTTTTCCTCTTCCAATGAAAATAGATGTCTGTCTTCCTCATTTCCAGTATCCAATAATTTCTTAACTATTGTTAAAATTCTTTCCAAATATATGTCAAAGTTATCCCATCCTCACTATCTTGCTACCACTGTCTTGGTTCAGGTCCAGATCTATTCTTAATAGATTAATTACAACAACCTGTGTAAAACTTTCCTCCTTAATTCATGTTCCCCCCATTTTTTTAATCTCCTCTTATATCCAACATTTTGGTACATCACTGCCCTTCAGTCTCTTCACCAGGCAGAGCAAGGAAAAAAAGACAAAGGGGTGGAATTCATTTTTTTACCATTTGACTATCTATTATAATAGAAAGAACCAGATGTATTTTCATCTGCAGATTCCCAAACCTAGCATGTCCCCTTAAAAATATTAAATGCTCAAAATATAACTGAATTTGTTGCTAGGAAAAAGTTAGTCCAGAGGACATTTGAATTTTAGTTTTCTCCTGCAACGTAAATGGCTGCACAATCTTAGTCAAGCTCCCTAATCACTCTTTCAGCTTCTTGGACTGTAAATGGACATAATGTTTTTAGCTCCAATAGAAATAGATTTCTGTCAGGATTAAATGAGATGATGAATAAGAAACCAATAAATCTTAGACACTGTACAAATGTCAATGATTACTGCTATTATAGAAAATAATAATTACCAACAAGTTTAATAATTTTTTTTCTCTTTCTAGTCTACTCCCAACTGGGTAGTCATCAGTTAGAGGGTTAAAATTTCAATTGATAGTAATATATAAACTTGATTTATTTCTTTAACTTAATAAATTGGTATATAATAATTTCATCCTACTCTCATTACCCATTCAAAGTGAAGAAAGATTTAGCCGAGTAATTAGTTCTACAAGAAATCCTCACCTGACATTCTCTATTCATTCTTTTACCAGTAGTCAAGACCAAGTGGACCAAATTGAAACTGCTGCTCTCTTTCTTCTCTACTGGCAGAAATATTAAAGAGCTATAAACTATCAGCAATTTAAATCAAAAGGAGATAACATGAATAAAAGAAAATCAGCACTGATCCATTTGGACAGTATTATCATCTTGCATGACCAAAGTGCTAAATAGATTATATTGAATTCACAGAAAGTTAACTTACTAGTATTAGTTTACTCAATCCAAAAACATCCAATTAAAATATAAAATATATTTTAATTGCAATGCCTATTGTAATATTAAATTATAAGTCTTAAGGTAATCACCTGAAAAATCTCTTGAGTGCAATGTTAAATTCAGGTCATTTCTATTGACTTGCCTCTAGGGAAAAATATATATATATATTTTTAAGAGAAATATCCCATGCATGCCTGCACACTCTCTCTCTCTCACTCGCTCTCTCTTTTTCTCTCTCTCTCTCTCTCCAAGAAAGATTTTGCTATGTCAAATTTTATAAAATGTCCCTGTGGTTAAACGTGTAATTTTCTCAAATACTGTATGTCATGTCTATAAAAAGGAAATGGAAAGAGTATTACGCTTAGTCAAATGAGAAATGAAGTGATAAATCAAACAAAATACAATGGAAATTTGAGTATTCAGTTTGACAAAAACAGCTGATACTAAAACCACTATAGAATGATTATTATCAGCTTTAGGAATGGAACCACAAAATAGATGGCTCCTACCCTGGGTTTTAGCAGATTAATCAAAATTCACTAGTTGGACAGGGAAAGAAAATGACCATCCAAGCAGAGAGCCAGTATCGGCATGGGGCATTAAACAGTGCAATCTACTTAGGGAATTAAAAACAAAGTAATTCTTTACTGAGAAATATAATTTGGAAAAGGGAGGGTCACTTAACTGATAGGCAGTAGACTGATGAGACCAAAACTAAAAGACCACTGGTTTTTGCTATATTTCTCAGAAACCAAAGGATCCAGGGAGGTGTTTTGATACTTCCATTTTATTCGAATTTTATTCATGTAGTTTAACTCCTTTAAAAAAAAAAATCCAAGGAAATCTGAATGCAGTATGGACTTCAGTTACTAATGATATATCAGTAGAGGTTCATTAATTAAAACAAATGTACCATACCAATGTAAGATGTTAATAACAGGGTGAAACTGAATTGGAACATATGGGAACTCTGTGTTACCTTTGAAACCTTTCTGTACATCTAAATCTATTCTGAAATAAAATGCTTTTTAAAAATGAACTCAAACATGTTATATAGTAAATTTTAACATAATGAAGTACATCAATAATTTAACTTCTATTCCTCATTTGTTTCTATGCAGCTATTAGGCTAATTTTTTCTGCCATTCTTATTTATTAGCAAATTTTTCTGAATTTGCAAAATGATTAACAAAAACCTATTATTTAAAACTACACATATATGTAAATCAGTAATTTCTGAATGCTATTTAATAAGAACAAAAGTACTAATAAATCAAAAATCAATATCCGACTATATCTGTTGGTCATAATCATAAATTTTTAAGTTAGTCTACTTGTTACTGGCTTTGAGAGGGCTGCAGGAAATGCGTACTTCACTTTTTGGGAAGGCAATGAGTACTTCTCCTTACACTTTTCACCTTGTGGCTTTCCAAGTTACCCTTCCCAATTTTCAGTTACCAATATTCTGCAAGATAAGGGATTCCCCAGTGTTCCACAATGTTAAATTTCCTACTCAAGCTGACCCATAACACTCAATTTTTTAATCTAGCTAAAGAATAAAAACAAATAAAATTCAGTCCAAATTATAATGGATCCCATAAATAAGTCATTATCATAAAAGAAACCACAACATTCTATGGCAGGCCAGAATTACGAAGCCAAATATTAAAGAATAAACAATGCAACCCAGTACTTAAGATATTATACAGTACTTGGGTAACTTCAGAGTTTCTTGACTTTGTTTCATTTGGTTTCTTGGCATCGGAAAAATACTCCAACAGATGCCAGAGTTTCAATTTAGAAACATGCAATTACAAGCATTTCATATTTGTATGACACATTGAGCCAGCTTCTTCCAGTGTGAATTCTAATCCCAGGTTCTATCAAGCACTTTTGGCAGCTGTATTCACCACGGCTGCCTTCTAAAGGGCTGTTTAGTAAGTTACTGCCTCTGCGTGAGAAATGGTTCCATTGTAACCTGACTTACTGCAGCTGCCCAAAGAGAGTAAGAGAAACAGGAAGTAACAAATATGTTGGGATAATCTTGCACAACATAGTACATTACTTTTTAAAAAAGTAATTTACTTAAAATTTTAAATAAATGAACTCTTTTTCCATTATCATTCATTCATTTCTTGAATTAGTATTTATTTTTCACTATTTTTATATTATATCAACAAAACCCATTCACTCTGGTTAATGCATCATGAGCTCTCACAGCTGCTTCCTTGGTGTTAGTGCTCTGACTTCATTTTGAATGTCTGTATCAAGCCCAAGACTAACCATGGCAACAAAGGGCTTTTGCATAAAATTCCAGAGCACGGCAGCTGGCACCGGGTCCACGCTCGTGCTTTGTGAATTCGTAAAGGACTATATTTGAAATAACGTTTATATTATTTTCTGGAAGACTTCCATTTGAATTTCATGCAGAGTGATTT